AATCAGCGATCACATGATCGGGACCTCGTACAGAGATCACGTCCGCCGATCGGTGTTTCACTGTGTCCGGAGGACACAGCAGGTACCGGATCGCGGTGTGCTGCATGCTCCCAGGGAGCGTGCACATCTAGAAATGGCGGGTGCCGTTTATGAACGGCAACCCGCCCCTGGACTGCCCCCGCCCTGCCGTTTATAAACAGCAGGCGGACGGCAAGTGGTTAAAGTGTTACTAGAACCCACAACATAAAATCAGTCTGTATATGCAGTAAAGTATGCTTGTTATACTCACTGTGGAACTTAAGGGGTTAATCCTCCGATTGTGTAAAAATGAAGTTTTGATCCTGACTTTTCTGATCCTCCTCTTCTTCCAGTGCCCCCTTCTTATCTCCTGATAAGACATATCGTGTGGAGTCACTGCACATGCTCAGTTTGCTGTGTAAGGCTAGAGAGGGTTTTTTATTTTCTTGGGAGAGAGCATGTGATCAGCACAGGGCCAATCAGCACTGTCCAGACAGAGGTCAGGGGTCCTGCATCCTCCTACAAGCTTTAACCAGTGTTGGGCTGGACACTGATAGAAGTCACAAGACTGCTCTAACTGCTGGTGAGAAAAGGTATTTAGCAGTTTATATTTACTAAAATAATTGCACTTCCATGTTCTGTATACTGTGGGAGACCAGATATAGTGAATGCAGGGTCCGGGGAGACCAGATATAGTGAATGCGGGGTCCGGGGATGACCAGATATAGTGAATGCGGGGTCCGGGGAGACCAGATATAGTGAATGCAGGGTCCGGGGAGAGCAGATATAGTGAATGCAGGGTCCGGGGAGTCCAGATATAGTGAATGCAGGGTCCGGGGAGACCAGATATAGTGAATGCGGGGTCTGGGGAGACCAGATATAGTGAATGCGGGGTCCGGGGAGACCAGATATAGTGAATGCGGGGTCCGGGAAAGACCAGATATAGTGAATGCGGGGTCCGGGGAGACCGGATATAGTGAATGCGGGGTCCGGGGAGACCAGATATAGTGAATGCAGGGTCTGGGGAGACCAGATATAGTGAATGCAGGGTCCGGGGAGACCGGATATAGTGAATGCAGGGTCCGGGGAGACCAGATATAGTGAATGCAGGGTCCTGGGATACCAGATATAGTGAATGCGGGGTCGGGGAGACCAGATATAGTGAATGCAGGGTCCTGGGATACCAGATATAGTGAATGCAGGGTCCTGGGATACCAGATATAGTGAATGCAGGGTCTTGGGATACCAGATATAGTGAATGCAGGGTCCGGGGATACCAGATATAGTGAATGCAGGGTCTGGGGAGACCAGATATAGTGAATGCAGGGTCTGGGGAGACCAGATATAGTGAATGCAGGGTTCTGAGTTTAGTAACACTTTAAGGGCTTGTTCACACCATGGTTCAGTTTTTCTGCATGCGTTCTGCAAGGACACGACAGCAGTTGATCTCTATATGCCCTGTTCACCCACAACACTAGTGTCACATGCAGATTTTTTTCTTGCGCAGGAATCTGAAACGTGTATAAAACTTATCGAAGCGCACATGAAAACTAATGTAAACTGATGTCCTGCAAGTGAAATCTGCTTGTCCGTTTCCATCAGTTTTTCTGCACGTATGGTGTGAACGAGGCCTGAGGCTGTACGGATTACATTTCCACAGTCTCTCCTGATGTATTTTATCCCCTAGAAATGTGTCACTTTTTGTTGCCTGTCTCTGGACTGATTGTGTTTTATCAATATCTTTTTGTAAGTGGGGGAACTGGACACAGTATTCTAATGAGGTCTCACTAAAGATTTATATAGGGGAATCAGGACCTCCTTCCTCCTGCTGGGGATCCATCTATTAATAACAAAAGACATATATAAAGGCATCAGGACATTCCTTCATTCTACTGGTGATCCCTCCAGTGATAATTAAAGACCTATATAGGGGAATCAGGACCTCCTTTCTCCTGCTGATGGTCCCTCTAGTAAAAAAAAAAGATCTATAAATGGGAAATCAGGACCTCCTTCCACCTACTGACAATCCCTCTGGTGGCAACTAAAGATCTATATATGGGAATCAGGACCTCCTTCCTCCTTTGGGGGATCCCTCTAGTAATAATTAAAGATCTAATAAAGTTAAATCAGGACCTCCCTTCCTCATGCTGGTGATCCCTCTTGTAATAACCTAAAGATCTATACAGTAAAATCAGAAACTAATTCCATCTGCTGGTGAGCCCTCTAGTGATAATAAAGACCTATATACAGTTATCAGGCCTTCTATCCTCCTTAAGGGGATCCCTCTAAAAATAAAAGATCTATAAAGTGAAACTAGGACCTCCTTCCTCCTGCTGGTGACCCCTCTTGTGGTAACTAAAGATCTATCAAAAGTAAATGAGGACCTCCTTCCTCTTGCAGGGCATCCCTCTAATGATAACTAAAGATCTCCTGTATATATTGGGAATCAGGACCTCCCTCCTCCTGCTGATGATCCCCTCTGGTGGTAACTAAAGATCTATATATAGGAATCAGGAACTCCTTCCTCCTTTGGGGGATCCCGTTAACAATAATTAAAGATCTTCAAAGTGAAATCAGGACCTCCTTCCTCATGCTGGTGATCCCTCTAGTAATAACTAAAGCTCTATACAGTAAAATCAGGACCTAATTCCATCTGCTGGTGAGCCCTCTAGTGATAATAAAGACCGGTATACAGGAATCAGGCCTTCTATCCTCCTTAACCGCTAGCCTACAGGGCACTTATACCCCCCTCCTGCCCAGGCCAATTTCCAGCTTTCAGCGCTGTCACACTTTGAATGACAATTTGCGCGGTCATGCAACACTGTACCTATATGAAATTTTTATCATTTTTTTGAGACAGATAGAGCGTTCTTTTGGTGGTATTTAATCACCTCTGGGATTTTTTTTTTCTTAAACAAACCAAAAACCACTGAAAATATTGAAAAAAAAAACGTTTTTTCTTAGTTACTGTTACACAATTTTGTAAATAAGTGATTTTTTCCTTCACTGATGTGCACTAATGAGGCTGCAGTGATGGGCACTGACAGGCTGCACTGATGGACACTGATAGGTGGCACTGATGGGCACTGATGAGGAGGCACTGGTAGGTTGCACTGATGGGCACTGAAAGGCAGCACTGATACATGATACATGACACTGATACATGACACTGATAGGCGGCACTGACTACTGGCAGCACTGACTGGCACTGATAGGCGGCACTGACTGGCACTGTTAGGCAGCACTGACTGACAGTTAGGCGGCACTGATAGGCGGCACTGACTGGCACTGATAGGCGGCACTGACTGGCACTATAGGCGGCACTGATGCGCACTGATAGGCAACACTGACTGGCACTGATAGGTGGCACTGATTGGCAGCACTGATAGATGGCACTGATTGGCATTGATAGGTGGCACTGACTGGCATTGATGGGTGACATTGAAAGGCAGCTCAGATGGGCATTGATATGTGGCATTGATGTGCACTGGTATGCACAGATATGTGGCATTGATGTGGCACTGATGAGCACTGACTGCTGGCACTGATGGACACTGACAGGTGGCACTTCTGGGGCCACACTGATCATCAGGGCACACTGATCATCAGTGCCCTGATGATCAGTGTACATGTCCCTTCCGCGGAAAGCCAATTACCGGCTCTCCTCTCCTCTCGAGCTGTCAGCGTGACAGCTCGAGAGGAGAGAAATGCCGATAACCGGCATTTCCGTGTTTTCATCTGAAATATGCACCCCCTAATCTATTTCCTCATTTTGGCCAACACTGCACCTCCAATATTGTACTCAAAGGATTCTTTTACACTAATTGTATTATTTTAATATATGTGCTATTGTACACAGTACATATCTTCAGCCTTCATCATGCAAGGTGTGCTCTAAGCCCTTCAACTGCTTTTTAACCTTTTAAAGCTTTTTTGAACTTCGCCTTTTAGCCTCGATTCACATCTAACTGTTTTGGAGCTCGAAGCTCCGAAGCGCTCAACAAGCCAAATCCAAGCCAAATCCTGGCTTCTCTTCTCTTTCCAGTAACCACGTGGGAGGTCGTTTCCCATGCGGGCATTTGTGCCTGCCCACGTCCGAGCCCCACTGCTGCATCCATATAGACAGCGGGACAAGAGGTCCCGACCCTTCTCCCTCGTCACTGGCTTTGATTGACAGCACTGGAAGCCAATGGCTCCCGATGACCCAGCAAAGCAAGTGAGACATGGAAGTGAACGGAGAGAGAGCTTCATATGTGCACAGAGCTAGATCGAATGAGGGCTCAGATAAGTATGGGGGGGGTCAGGCCAAAATCAGTGCAAGGAATGCAATAAAGTAAAAAAATGTTTAGGCTTTAGAACCACTAAAGTGTTTTTAAACCTTGTTTTTTGGGGGATTTATTATTTAAAATAACAAACGTCTATACTTACCTGCTCTGTACAAAGATTTTGCACAGAGCAGCCCCGATCCTCCTCTTCTGGGGTCCCCCGCTGGTGCTCCTGGTCCCTTCTCTTCGGCAGCTGCCAACATGGAATGACAATGATGCCCACTGAGCAAGTGGATGACAGGTCTGTGTCCACTGTGCTGATGCAGAGCGGACACAGACATAGCCCACTGTTTTCTATGGGGCGGTCAGCTGGAAATGGACCGCCTGTCTGTTTTCATCCAACTGTCATCTGATCCAGTCTGCCAGACGGATGGGGATCTCCATCTGTGTGTTTTTAGCATACAGGATTGGATCAGACGCCGGCGGGTGTCAGTGGACACATGATACTGACACCTGCCAATCCATAGAGAGCTATGTATGGTCCAAACAGGTCAGCCTGAAAAACTGACAGGCGGACCCGATTGGACCATCAGTGTGAAAGGGGCCTTACAGAGGGGAGCCCTTAAGACTAGCAAGAGAGACTTTGTCTTTTTAAGGATCAGTAACTGTTCAAAAATGTGTAAATGTTGCAACTTTATCCTTGATTTTTGTCCCCAGGTGTCAGCGTAACATGGCGCTTGCACAGAAATGGCTACAGAGACTGAAAGATCATTTGCAACTTCAACACTTTCTGCAAGACTGCAATGAGGTAAGCCTATATTTTATCCTTGGGATCGTTATGAGAAGTGCCTGCTGAAAAGAGTTTATGTTCTGGGATGTAATTTGCTAGTGCAGTGATGGACAAAATAAAGGTGAATTTGGAATCAGTCCATCAAATTTAAGAGCCTTCACAATTTTTTAAAAGAACCAAAGAAGATATACATTTATTGTCTTTAATAAAACAGGTCGCTTAAGGGTAGGTACCAATGGAAATGTTTTCTTTGTAAAAATTTGTATTGCCCTTTATTCCAAGCAGAACATGTACAACAATAGATAACATTTCTCCTGCTGTATGGTATTGAACGTTTCTTCTTAGAACTGGTAAGCAGGGGTCCAAATACGCAGCACTATAAATGGTAGACATGCCGTGTGCTCCTGCATTCAGAACCTGCGAGTATTGTGTTCTAGAAGGAGAATGTTAATGCATATGTGAGTTTCCTTTAACATCATCACCGCCTCCTCCTCTACCTACAGTTTTCCAGGGCTCCCACATTTACAGTGAAATTATTACTACTTGTGTTTTATCCAGTATTTAAAGTGAAACAGTTCTTTGTCAGTGTAGAGATCTTGCCATAATGTACATGTATGAGGGTTAGACAAAAATATGGAAACACTACCTGATATTCAGGTGTGAAAATTATTACATGTTTCGCGTTGAAAGCGGACGTGATGTAACATTCTTTTGCTTCCGCTGTGTGATGAGACACCTAGCTAACAGATAGAAAGCTTCACTTTCATCATTCGCTGCATATGCTGTTAGTAATACGGAGTCATGTCAGAGCTTCCTGAGTCTCAAAGAGGGCAAATTGTTGATACCTGCTTTTCAGTATGCAAAATCGGGATGGGAAAAAGCTTCACTTTCATCATACGCTGCATATGCTGTTAGTAATACGGAGTCATGTCAGAGCTTACTTAGCTTCAAAGAGGGCAAATTGTTGATGCCTGCAAAATCAGGAGGGACCACAGTCCTAAACTGTATTTATTGGGCTGATGGATACTGACTTCTGCACTGGATGATGATGTTGGGCAGCACAGTGGCTAAATGGTTAGCACTTCCACCTGGCAGTACTAGGGTCGCTGGTTCAAATCCCAACCACGGGCCTACCTGCCTGGAGTTTGCATGTTCTCCCTGTGCCTGCGTGGGTTTCCTCCGGGTACTCTGGTTTCCTCCCACACTCCAAAGACATGCTGTTAGGTGAATTGGATCCTGTCTAAATTGGCCCTAGTATGTGTATGTATGGATGTGAGTTAGGGACCTTAGATTGTACACCCCTTGAGGGTTGGGGAATGATGTGAATGTATAATATATGTATAAAGCGCTGCGTAAATTGACGGCGCTATATAAGTACCTGAAATAAATAAAAATAAAAAAAAATAAATGATAATGTCTCCTTGGGGAGTCCCCTTTTCGTATCAGTGTACTCCTCTTCACATCTGAGTCCTCCCACCACCTTCGCATCAGAGTCACTTTACTTTATATCACAGTCCGCCATCACATCAACACCCCACCCCCCCTTCACTTTAGAGTCCCCTGTTACATAAAAGTCTCTCTTTCACTTAGGAGTCCAGTTATCACATCAGATTTTCCCCTTCACATCACAGTCTCTCCATTACATCAGAGTCCCCCTTCAAAAAAGTGTCCCCATATTATATCAACATTCTTCATTCACATAACAAGCCCTCCATACCAGAGTTCTCCCCATCATATCAGAGTTCTTCCCTTCAGATTTGAGTCCCTTTACTTAATTATAGAGTCCCCTTCACATTAGAATCCCCCCAGCATGCCTGAACTGAAGCAGGATTTGCACCCTCTTCTGAATGCCTTCCTGGATCAATGTGATCTGTTTCCAAGGTGTATAAAAATAATTATTAAAAAGGTGTGAGTGCTGCACCATAGCAGCGAATGATGCTGTGCATCCTGGTTGCCCCCCTGCACCATGGAAATTAATGATGTATTGCAGCAGGTAGGGCCAGAAAGCATTGCAGTAAGGGTGGGATGGGGGGTACAGCCTACCCCTGCACCCTTTAGATTTGGCTCTGGTTTCTACAAACGTTTGGCCATATAATATGTGTTTTACAGTTCTCAAGGTACTAAGTGTAGATTAATGAGAAAAAATTGAATGTAAATAACTGTAGTATCGGGCTGCAACATAACAAAACTGAAAAAGTAAAGAGGGTCTGAATATTAATGTACTGTATCCAGTAGCTGAGCTCAAGGTTGTCCCTTTTCTGTTCTGAGATCATCTCAGCAGCTATGGTTGGCTCTGTTGGTTTTGTGCCTAATGATAGTTGATCAACTGTTTGTTGAATAAATATTTTTGACTGTAATATATATTAATCATTATTAGGGCACACAAAAATAACAAACACCACAATTTCTACTAAATTTAAAATATAAAACTGTACTAAGTTAATAAAGAACAAATTTACAGTATGTTGACTTAAACTTATAGGGTAATACATACCATCTTTGGTGCAGTAGGAGTTTGTGTATGTCTGTGCATTGTAATTGTATGTAGGTTATGTGTGTGCAGGTGTGTTGTGTAGGTGTGTTGATGTTTTTTTAACTTATTTTTTTTATATTTTATTTTTTTTCTGACACAAAGTTCTTGTGATGCCCAATGTTAAATATATTACCTATATTATGAAAGCTAAAACCTAAAAAACCCACCATGGTCATTATGGGACCTCATTTTCACAATTAGATCCTCCACTAATTTAAAAATATGAATGCAGCAAGAGAAGATGCTTCTTTTTTAATACCCAAGATGGAGGGTGGGCTTGGGAACTCTAGTGGGTAATCCCATGAAATATAGGTATTCAGTTGGCTCCAGTTAGAAAATATATTTTTTTGGGTGGGGGGGCAATTCAATTTTTTTTTAAGGTTACAAATCTATTTGTCTGAAATCTTTATTTTGCAAATTAGAATTTCCGTGGGTACTTCCATGGTACTTGGGTTAGAGTGAATGCTGGAGCCACTTATTTGATTTACTAATTTGTGTGTATTAATTTCAACTTGAGCTACTGAAGTTTGTAAACATTTTTTTTCTCAATAGAAACTAGAAAGAGTAAGAAAAATGTGTAAATGGCTTAAAGCTACTCCTGCTGCCCAAAAAGCACAATACAAAATCTTTAAGTTTATATAAAAGCACATTTGTTTTAGTTTTGAATAGGGTAGGGAATGGATAAGATCCCTGTCAGGTTTTTTTCTCCATCTGTGTCCAATTTAGGGGGTTGAAGAGATTCCTATTGCAGATATACAGCAGATCTCTTCAAAGAGAGGGGATATTTCCTATTAGGCAGTTGTTTGCAGAATCGGTTTTCCCATTAGAAGATATCCCCACACCTTCTGTTTCTGTTGAAACTCAAAAATATTTCCTTTGTTATACGTCTTTATACCAAACTATCCCTCTTCGCAGATCTTTTGTTTTACGCCAGGCAACCATACATATTAATACCAACTATAATAACAAAATTTAAATGTTTCAGCTTCTGAAGTTCATTTATAGAAAAAAAACAACAAATGTTCATTATCCACTTCCAAGAAAGCCTTCTACAAATTAGCTTTTAGATTGTAAGCTCCAACGAGCAGGGCCCTCTGATTCCTCCTGTATTGAATTGTTATGTAACTGTGCTGTTTGCCCTCACATTGTAAAGCGCTGCACAAACTGTTGGCTGTATATAAATCCTGTATAGTAATAATAACTTTCCTTTTTAGGGTTTGCACATGCTCCCTGAAATATTTAGGAATACAGATCCTGTCTGATACTTCACAGCTATTCACTGTTGCTTACCTAACTTATTTCCTACAATCAACATTGACATAAAAAACTCCGGAGGGGCCTTTACAAGGTTATATGGGAATCTACTTTCTTGCAGACTAAACCGCAAGATACTCTGCATTCCCAAATCAAAAGAGGGAGCAAATGCTCCAGATATCTTCTTATACCAAGCTTTCCAGAATCATAGAATGGTTCCACAACTGCTCTTCCAGGTCTCAGACTGATTAAGATCAATCTCTAGTCCCTTTAGACATTTTATAGATCCACCCTGGACAGAACTGAAGTTCCAAGTCCCATTATTCCCTCTATCTTTCATTACATGCCATTTTCTTAAAGGCTGGGATAATGTCCTACACACAAGATCTCCTCTTATGTGGGTTGAATGACTCCTCTAATTAATAACCTAGCCTATTCTCTTGTAATGCACCTGCTCAAATTGCTATAATGGGACAAAACAATGCACCATAGGCTGGTGCAAATTCTCCATAGAGGCACTCTACCGCCCCTCTCCTTATACCAACAGCTACCCCTGTAACATTATCCCAATGGCTGAATAAAATCACAAAAAATGGGCTGGTCATGGAGGGGGTAAAACCTTCTGGAGGGCAAGTGGATATACATACCTGCATGGCATAGGAAGCCTTCAGAAAACCCAAGAATTCTTAACAATCTTAGACTAAATCCTGTTAATAACACGGACTTGGCCATGATGAATGTACATGTGAATACAACCACCCCTACCCTTACCCTCCCCAATATCCACCCTGTTTTTTTTTTTTCTTTTCCCCTTCGCTCCCAATTTGCCTTTCTATGCTCTTCTTCATCACCTAATTTCTTCTCTATCTGTTCTAGGGGTTACGGGTGAAGGAGATACTCCCTGCTTTCCACTTTTTTCCCATTTATGATTGCCTATTCTGAACATACTAATTTATTTTATGCAAACATACAATGTAGATTCAGTTGTTATCCCTTTATTGAATTCTGTTTTGAGCATTTTACTTTACATGCATACACTTTAATATGAAATATTTTTCACTTTCATGATTTAAAAAAATAAACATTACGTTAATAGTTCTAAAAGTAATTAAAAATAGATTCCCTTCAAAAGGTTCTTTATTTTCATTGAGATTTGCATTAAAAAGCTTAGGTAAAATGTCAGGCAGCATGTTGTAACAGCTGACAATGCAATCTGTTCTCTCTTCATTCAGACTTTTGCACATAACATTAGATAACTGCACAGAGATCATTCATACTCTGATGTTGGGTGCTTAACACATGTC